AGTCAATTTTCAACTGTTAATATTTCCAAAATAGTTCAACTTAGGTATAGGGTATATCACATGAAATCTGCTCAGAATTTTACGTAGAATCCAAATATGCAATCACATACGGGGTGTTCCATTTAAAATAGTGAAGTTGCCACTAGTTTAAAGTAGAAGCGGCAACACCGCATGGTCAAAAATATTTTTAAAAGTAGATAATGGTCGTTTATCCCGGTTGCCAAATTTTCAAAATGATCCGCTTTTTAGTTCTCCATAAACGTCTAATACGCCATCCACCGTGGGACACCCTGTATAGAGAGACTTTTCTTGCATAATGTTTACAGAGTTCACCCGAAAAGTGCTCAAATTGTTAACTCTCAATAAATAAAAGATTTTTCAAGGATCAATAAACATTTTGTAATCGCAGTGAACCGAGTAGTGAACTGATTGAAGTTGACGAATTATTTATGTTGTGCTCTTGTGCATTTAATTAGTTAATTTGTGTTCTCGTTCATTGAACATTTAACCATAAATGATATTATCATTATCAGATTTCCCTACTTTTTATAAATCAAGATACTTATTTACTTTAGATTAGTATGAAATTTGTAGTTCGACTGGACGTCCAATTAGGAATTTTTAAATAGGATTTGATTGCTGATTATACCGAATTACTTTCATTAAGGTATTAATTAAATTGATAACTATTCTATTTCAGCGTTTTATTTGTATAAATGAGAATCAAGGCACCCCTAACCCAATACAATGCTTAAATGATCCAACACCTAATGGTTAATTTTTACAGTCAGTCAAAGTAAAAACTTTTGGCACCCCTGGCCCCTGGTGCGGTTTAACTAAAGACCAAAACAAAAAGGGGACTGACTGGTAAACGTCTGGTTGCTACCTAGCAGGTACTTTCTATGCACTAGAGAATATAAAGTACCTACCTGCTAGGTAACAACCAGACACTTACCGCAGTTGGTCCATAAATTGGCCCTAAACTACAAAAATCAAAAGTATAAAATACTTACATTATATATTAGTCGTGAATTAATAGTTACTTTTGTATCTAGTGCGCGAAATGCTACTTGGGTGATGGAGAACTGATTTTTCTAACGAGGTGCAGCCAATTTAAAAAATTAGTCGAGAATACCAAAGTATTTCGCACACGAGTTGCAAACAATATTTTTTCTACAACTCCATTTAAATATCGATCATTCGAAACTTAAATTGCATGTACAATCAAAGGCAGGTGAATTTTAATTATTTTTGGTTTCCTATCAGGTGTCAAGTATTTGTTATTTGTTACCCGAGTGTGCGAACTAGGCATTTCGCGCACGGCGTCATGGGATCGTTAAAAAAAATCTACCTGGGAAAAAAGTGTCACTTTTCAAATTGTCATAAGTGTGCAAACATCATAATTTTTAGACAGTTGTAGAAAATAGTTATTTTTGTATCAAGGGCGCGAAATGCTACTTTGGTGACCGAGATCTGATTTTTTTAACGAGGCGCAGCCGAGTTAAAAAAATAGTCGAGATCACCAAAGTATTTCGCGCCCGAGTTGCAAACAATATTTTTTCTACAACTCTATTTAAATATCAATCATTCGAAGCCAAAATTGCATTTTCAATCAAAGGTAGGTGAATTTTAATTATTTTTGATTTCCTGACAGGTATGTGTCACCATGACACCCAGTGTGCGAAATAGCTAGTCTAAGAGCTAGTTCGCGCACGGCGTCATGGGAACGTTAAAAAATCAATACCTGGGAAAAAAAGTGTCACTTCACAAACTGTCATGAGTGTGTGAACATAATTTTTTGACAGTTGTAAAAAAAAAATATTTTTTCATTACTAACCTGAGAAGTAGTCATTATTCAATCTATTTTTTTAGGTAAAAATTGAATTTCTCTCCCTAGATTAATGTTGAAAATAATGAAAAAAAAACCAAGGTCAATAATGAAAATGACGTCATAACGCAAGGATATTGTCATAACATAACAGGTTTCTATTGGTATAGTCTCAATTACAAACTCTCAATTTAAAAAAAAAAAAACAGGTTCCTATACAGCAGTGGTTCCCAAACTTTTTTCTTTTGCGCCCCCTTTCTGAAATCAAGAAGTGGTCGCGCCCCCTTCCTACCCCTATTAAACAAAAACATTTTTTTTTTTACTTACTGGTACTCCTCTGAACTGGACTTTGGAAGAGGAAGAATGGACATGAAAATGGGCAACGAGCGTGCGCTGTAGCAATTACTGTATTCCTTTTATACATCGAGTTACACCGAACGTGTCGCTCTAGAGCTCCTCAGAGTCACTCCAAAACACACAATTCAGAATAATACAGATATTAGAGAGTTCTCGTGCTGTCCAAATTTCAAATACCGTAACGTTATTTGACAAGTATGACAGTACTTACGGTATGAGCGTTAGTGGAGCCGCCCGCTACCCAACGGGAGTTAGCGGATGCTTTACCGTAACGCTATGCTATGTCAAAATTAGTTCACGCACCATTTACGTCTGTAAGAACAGCAACTTTTAATAATTCCTCGATAAAAAGCACTAAGGAAAAATTATTGAAACTCAGGAATCTTCAAGATAAATAAAAGTTGGCAAACAAGCAAAAAAATTCAGCTGTCAAAATGTAAACAGAATAAAGGCCGAAACCCACTAGCAACACGCCACGCCACCCCACGCCATGTGACACAGGTTCACGTGGCACAGTTTGTGTGCAAATGGACGGATGGCGTGGCGTGCCATGGCGTGGTATCGCGTATGGCAAGTGTGTACGCAGCACATATAAATAAATGGAAAAATATACGCATACATTTTCGTCACATGGCGTGGCGTGGCGAAGCATGACGTGGCGTGTTGCTAGTGGGTTTCGGCCTTAAGGAATTAGAGGATTTTTGTGAATTCGTGTCCGAGAATTATGAAATAGCATTTAAAATACCGTATTGTTAGCGGTACCGTATTAGCATAGCGTCTGAGGCACGAGAACTTTCTAATATCATTATACTTTAATATTAACATTACCTAAAAAAGCCCCCGCAAATTTGGTGCATCAGGGGAAAGGGGGATGCACTATGAGCGACTCGAGTGCTTTCCGCACTTTTGAAAGGAACGTTCACGCTTTTGACACCAAGCAGCTCCGAGTAACTCAACGGGTAAAAGGAATACAGTAACAGATCGCATGGCAAAGCTGCTTTGGCTTATGTATGCGCTGTTGTAGGATTGTAGACATCTTTTTTTAAATTTTACCTGATTTTTTATTTTAAAGCTTAAAATTTGTATCAATTGTTAAGAAGACTTACACCCCCCTCAATGTTGCTTCAAGCCCCCCCAGGGGGGCGCGCCCCCCAGTTTGGGAACCGCTGCTATACAGGGTGTCTCACGGTGGATGGCGTATTAGACGTTTATGGAGAACTAAAAAACAAATCATTTTGAAAATTTGGCAACCGGGATAAACAAGCATAACCTACATTTTAAAAATATTTTTGTTTATGCGGTGTTGCCGCTTCTACTCTAAACCAGTGGAAACATCGCTATTTTAAATGGAACACCCTGTACGTGATTGCATATTTGGATTCTACGTAAAATTCTGAGCAGATTTCATGTGATATACCCTATACCTAGGTTCAACTGTTTTGGAAATATTAACAGTTGAAAATTGACTTTTTGTAACTTTGACATGCTGTAAAGCCTGAACGGTTAATTTTAGAGGAAAACCGATTTCACATTCCTATCTTAGATTTTTATAAACTATCATTTGACACCAATTGTGAATTTAATCCATGATTAAAAATTCCAATTAAGTAAATTTATTTTCCGGTTAAATTCAAAATTGGTGTCAAATGATAGTTTATAAAAATCTAAGATAAGAATGTAAAATCAGTTTTCCTCTAAGATTAACCGTTTAGGGTTTACAGCCTGTCAAAGTTGCAAAAGGTCAATTTTCAACTGTCAATATTTCCAAAACAGTTGAGCTTAGGTATAGGGTATATCACATAAAATCTGCTCAGAATTATACGTAGAATCCAAATATGCAATCACATACAGGGTGTTCTATTCAAAATAGCGATGGTGCCACTGGTTTAGAGTAGAAGCGGCAACACCGCATAAACAAAAATATTTTTAAAGTGTAGATTATGGTCGTTTATTCCAGTTGCCAAATTTTCAAAATGATCCGCTTTTTAGTTCTCCATAAACGTCTAATACGCCATCCACCGTGGGACACCCTGTATGTACCGGGTGATTGTCTATATTTTGCTTGTACACCTATCTCACCTGATTGAAGAGATACTCAGAAATGTCGAATGTGAAAGTTCGAAAGTTTTAGGTAATATCTAATCTAAGGTAATATCAGAAACTTTGCAATGAAGTTCCTTATAAGTATACAGGGTGTGTCACAAAAGTGCGGCGGAGCAAAGTTAAACTTTTTCAAATTGAAAACCTTGTATATTATTGTCCCATTGAATTAGCTTTTCAAACCTGATATCAAATATACTAAGTATTTTAGGTTTATTCTTCTAGTCCAGCCTCTGAATATCCCATTTTGAAGAAATTATATGGATTTTTTACATAAATGATTACCTTTATATTTTGCTGGTGGTCTCTACAGTTCACCTTTTTCAATTAAAAATTCAATTATTCCACCTTTTTTTGTCCTATTTTCTCCTGGACTATAGGGGATAAATCTAAAAAACTAAGTATATTTGGAATCAGGTGCAAAGGCCAATCCATTAAAAAAAATATAACTTTGCTTCGCCACACTTTTGTGACACACCCTGTGTACTTGTAACTAACATCCTTGAAAACTTTCTGATATCACCTTCAACTTTCACATTTGACATTTCTTGGTATCTCTTCAAACAGGTGAGATAGGTGTGGGTGCAAAATATAGACAATCACCCGGTATAACCAGAATGGAACACCTACTGATACTATGGCCATTGGCTTTTGATGTTGATTAAATCCTCTTCTCGCTGGCTCATTTTATAATTCCTTCCGTTATTGAGAAAAAAAAAAAACTAAGAGATTTTTGTGCATGATTCTAATAGATAAATAAATAATTGAACACAATAATTTTAAAATAAGATAATTGTGAAATTGGAAACCCATATAAGTATGCAAACTCGCTGCTTCCGCAAAAATTACTGAGGGTCTTGTTGCAAACACAGAAAAAAAAACTTGATTTTATTTTTATACAATTTGAATGCCATGTAGTATTGTATTATGGAAGCGCGGAAGCAGCGCGTTTTCTGCCCCTGACTAAATATTGATTAAATTAAATATTAGCTTTATTTGGTATATTTTATCACATTCATTCATTGACTGCCTTTTGTAAACGCTGATTACTTTTTCAACCATTTCAGGAATCCTCATATGTTGGATTCCAAAACTCAACTCAGCTAATAATCATAATCATTTACTAAAATGATTCAGCACTTTTAACCAAAAAAAGCATAATAAAAACCGTTATCTAAGGATTAGTAATATTAAACATATTTTTATCAATAACAAAACCCTAGAAACTCTCTGGTTTGTTGAAGAAGAGTCTCTCACAGCAATGAAGACAAAACTAAAGGTAAGCAAGAGGCTAAAATAATTATTGATTTTTCCTTTCAACTCTGAGAGCTGGAAATTGCTATAAGAGACTTTTATCAAATTGGTTGTGGTTAAAACATACTCAGCACTCAGACATGTAAACCTATAAGAACACTTTCAGCCATGAATGCTATCATATAATTTCATGTGATATTTCTCCTTAATCCCGATATAGATGTCCAGGCCAAGCTGAACGTGTCGCCCCGTCCATTTCGCCAGCAAGTGCATTATCTCTCAATAATGCGTGATCTGTTCCTCCTATTTGTGCACCACAGAAGCACTTAGCTGTTTGCATTGCACCACCACATTCGCCAATAGCATAAGGATGTCCATTGGGACATTTATACCAATGTCCTTTGGTTAATTCCATAGCTCGGACTATTTCAATTCGTTCCGTATCGGAAATAATAGTCAAAGTCGGATTCACTTTAAAGGCAAATTCACGCAATTTTGGCTTAATCCAATCATCCAAAGAGTCAGTGTATTTTGAATTATTAAACAAAACATTTCGAATGGAATCTCTAAGATTCAGTATATCTGATTTGGTTATAGCGTTCTGGAAGCAAGTTGACTTGTGAATATTATCATATTGCACTATTCCTTGCAATCGTTTGATTTCCATTGTCAAATCGTTGACTTCTTGGTGAGTCACATGATCTTCCGAACGTAAAAGCACTTCCAAAAGCATTGTAAGCTGTTCAATTGACGCGTCGTCACTTTTGAAGATTTTTTGGACATCTTTGAAGCATTGGATAATGTATGAGAGGGTTTGCGTTTTCGATTTAATTGCATTTAATTCCACTTTGTTTATGGGTTGACGGCGCTTACTTCTGACTGGTTGTAGACGGTTCAGTAGGGTATTGATAGTGAGTTTCAATGATGGGCAAGCTAAAAAAGGATGCACAAAATTAATATGTTTTCGTTTGGTAAAAGATACATTCATCAGGAGAGAAATAATTGAAAACAAAAAATGCCAAATGAATCTTAGCATCTTCCCTTTCTATATGATAACAATAATTCTAATACACAATCATAAACTATAAGTGGTAGTACTTTGCGATACTCTCAAAAAATAGACTTTTCACCCCTTGGCCGTTGTAATCCATACTATCAAGGTGGAAAAAAAAAGAAAGACAGGAGAAAACAATCTCTTCTTTCCTTTTTCTTATAATTATTGATATTCTATAACAATTTTGTTAGGAATTCATGAGGCATAGTTGCAAAGAAAACATCTCTTCATGTCAAAAATGATTTTCTCCCTAATGACGTTATCAAGGAATATGTGCGTGTAGTATTATAAATCCATCTACAGACCAATATCATCATTTGGTTGTAAAACTTAGGTAAGAAAAACAGAGCCAGAAAAGCAAACTAAAAACTATGAAGAGTAAAAGTAGTGGCAGATTAAGGATTAAGGGAAATTATGACAATCGCCGAGGATGAAAAAACGTGAAAGAAATTAATAAAAAATCAAATTAAATACTTTACCCATTGACACATATGTACATTTCTCTTTCAAATTTGATAATTCTTCAGAGAGTTTTGAACGCATATCTTCGTTTTCTGAAGCTGTTCCAAAAGACTTTTCTTTGGCTTTTATCACATCATCAATTGACTGTTTGATGTAATGACTAAATCTCTCAGTGCTTGAAATATTAGTGTTGCATCTGCAAATAAAGCAAAATATTAGCAAGTAGGTATAGTATTTTCCATACAAAAGAACATTATCACGTTCAGCGCAAAAAAAATAAATAAAAGTGGAATCTATCATTTACAATAGCATACCTTGGACACTTCTTATATCCAATTTCATTCTCATTTCCATTTAAGTGGCGTTCCAATGCTGTACTTTCTATAACATCACCGCAATCTTTAAGCTGAACAAAAATTGCATCTTCTGCGTCCTCGGTTCCAAAGAAAATTTCTGTCAATTCTTCACGATTGCAGACACGGCATAATTTCGGACAAGGATCGCCGCAAAAACCAACACAGGGGTGGCCGCATTTCCGAACTTCTGGACATCTGTAAATGTAAATTATAGGTTTGCTTGGGTTATTTATTATTGGATTCTCTAAACTAGTGGAAATAGGGATGGTTGACTGGTGAGAAATTGAACACCACTTCTCAGACAACCGACAGTCAGTAGTTGTTTTGTCAACCAACTCCAGCAATCTTTGATAACGTACAGGGAAACAATGGGGACTGAAGAGTAAGGTTCATAGTGAAATAATCGAAAATATGTTAATTTTTTATCAATCAACCATTCTCTGGGTGATAGGTTTATTACTTATTCCAATCCAATGCCTACATAATTGTTATGCCTGGAAGGCAATGTTCTAGAAGTGGTCTTTCATTTCTGTTTTCTGTTAATCATATCGAAAATTTCTAAACTCAAACACATAAACCAGAAATAAATGAGGCATAAAAAAGTTTATACTTACTTTTCTTTACATGGTCCGACATCGCAAATTTCTCCACAAACCCTGCTACACCGGACATGCTCACATTTTCTATTACAACTGGCCATACATGGTGTACAAGGTTCGCCGCATTTTTTCTTGCACTTGCTATGGGCGCACTTCACTTGACAGGGCCTAGTACAAGGTTTGCACGCTTGTCGACAAGGAATCGGACACTCGTGGTTGCACACAAGAGGAACCCCGCATTTTTCGTTGCATCTCTTGTGAATACGACCCTGCATGCATTCACCGCACGTGCCGGAGCACTTGTGCGGAAACTCGCGGGTCTTGCAATCCAGTTCTGTACGACAAGGCTCTGTGCAGTACTTGAGAAGCATTTTGGGATCGGCTAAAAATAATTTAAAAATATTGAAAATCAAGCTCTTATAATATCTTTAAGTTGTCAAATAGATAAAAAAATTACTTACTCGCAAATCTCAAGTGACACATTATTTTCTTGATAATATGTCCACACGGTGTTTGTTTATTACACTCAACCATTTCCATGCATTTCTGGGTACAAGTATCTTTACAAGCCTCTTTACAATTGTGACCACATGGTAGCGGCCTGTTACAGATTTTTGAGAGGCAATATCGTCTTTCAGGTGCCTTATGACACTTTATTTTAACTGGATGTCCACAATCGGGGATGGATTTTTCAACCTAAATGTATGAAAATATATAGTCAATAAGGTGTCATCTTAACTAATAACAGTACAAAAAAAAATCATATTACAGTGAGTTCATAAACTCCCGCCTAAATTCATTATTTTGAAAAATCGCTCAGAGAAGACAATAATCCCAACTAGAGAGAAAGTCATTCCTTGCAATATTTTACAAAATTCCAGACGCCTGTGACAATCACCATCAGAAAGTTCATGATAAACTTGCATTTTTTACGAGTAATATTTTAACAACTGCTCTGTAGCAACATCAAGGTTTCTGGCTATTTCTTTACATGTGACATGTTCGTTGTCCTAAACACTTATTGATAAGTCTATTCTTCTCATTACTAATGGGTGGTCGACCGCTTTTTGGACCATCCCGAACATAACCAAGTTAAAGAAATTCTTGCTAAGTCTGACTAGGATATTTTCTGTTAAATCAATAATAAACTTCTTCATGTGTTCTTTGGATATCACCATATTCTATCATTCTTGGAATGTCTTTTCTCTGTGCCTCACTTCATAGTAGTATATCGAATAACAAGAACTTAAAAACTGCAAAAAACTATAATAGCTAAGTAATAAAGAAAAAAACCCAAGCTTCTCAAAATAATGAAACTTATGCGGAACTTTATGAACTCACTATATATATTTGTGCAGTAAATTAAGTTAGTGATGTTTAACAGTTCAATGGGAGTAAACAAGCTACTTACCAGCTCTTGGCAAGCGCCACAATCCTCAAAACATGGGCTCTTACAAGGATGACCACAAATCAATTTTTTCTTGCAAGGTTTCTTACACAAAATCTGTTCCACGTCATCCTTACATGGAATAATGAACCTGTGGCTGCACGATTTTATTTTCATTACACCAATAGTACATTCTTCGCATTCTTCGTAACAATAATTGGGACATATGTGTTTCTGGTTTAGGGGTTCTTTGCAACCCTGTCTCGGTTTGGCGCATGGTTCTAGACATTTGTACTGGAAACAAAGAAAGGTTAATTATATTTTTGATAATAATAATAATTATTGTACTAAGAAATTATGTGCTTAAATGAGAGAATTACACATGTAGTCAGAACAGGACATTGCTGCAGTACCTAAAATATCAAGTATATAGTTGATAGATTTCTCAATTTTCATATCGAATCAAAAAAAAAAAAAATTTCAGAAGAATGTAGAATTCTCTTTGAAAAAGCAGACCTTCTTACTAATTATATCTGTTACATAGGTTTAAACATTAGGGCCCAGTTTCACAATTGTTGGTAACCTGCACTGGTTATCAAACTCATAGTTACGGGTTGACCACATGAATAATCTGAAGCTTGACCAATGGTTTTGGCTGAAGCACATATTATGGAACAAATATATTGTAGGTTACCAGTATCTTGTGGTTATCGTTGGGTTACCACTGTTTGTGAAACTGGCCCTAAATAATTCAAGACAACAATGAAACAATAAATAATTTGTAGCAAACAAACGAAAAATTCAATATAAATCACACATGTATAAGATGATAATGTAACAGTCAAGTTAATGGTAAAATGTAAAAACCCAATCACTGATAAATGATACAAAATAATAACCCCTCAATTTATTAAGTCGTTTAGAAATTCATATACAGAATAACATGCTTTAGACATCATGAGAATTGTAATATTTCGAGAAAATAGACCCATAAATCACAATGTCTTTACTGTAAAAATTTAATAATATCAAATAATCAAAAACAGAATTTCCGGTATCTCCAAATTAGTATCTATAAATTAAAAATGGAACAAATTAATGTGACCCTAAATACATTCGAAATTATATTAATTCCCCAGGGTGATGTCATCCTAACACCCGATCAATGAACTTTTTTTTTAGCGAGGCCATCATATTAATTAAATCGATGATTTATGGCATTCTTGAACCTGAAAATATCCGTAGTGACCCCGATAAAATCAGGAAATTGCGACATAGTTATTCGAAACAGATAAAAATGACAAAAATTTTAAGGAGATTGCATCATCTTAATTGTCATGGACACAGAAATTTCGGGGGGGAATCAAAAAATATAAATACCGCGGTTTTAGAAGTGGACGGCAGTTGTCAGTTGAGTTGCCAGTTGTTAGCAGTCCAGTCCAGTTTGAGTTAAAGTCTATAGTACCTAAGGTTCGTTTCACCAGGGTTCATACTTGACCTTGAAACTTGAAAAAAAAGGGTTGTCGTAGATTAATTCATATGACATATTCAATTTTTTTGACAAACAAAATGAATGACTTCTAGTTTAAGAAACGACAAACGTTTTTGACGTCATTGATCTGTTTCAATCAATTTTTATTTGTTAAACAAGGAAGGCAAATGCTGGTGGCAAGTACAAACCCTGGCGAAACAAACTTTAATCAATCTGTTCGGGTTGAAATTCGCGAAAAGTTCTTATTAAGGCCTCGGAGAAAACGCGTTCGATTTAACTTGGAAAAAGTACGGAAAATTGTGAAAGAAATAACATTTGAAATTCGTTCAACTTATGTGCGGGCTCTCAGTAATCAAAAGAATTAAATTAGATTAGTTTTGTGTTTTATGGACAAAATGTAAGTACTCTAGAGTGACAAGATTTATTTTGAATATAAATGATGAATATGACTTTGTGTGATTAAACTTTTTAATGCCTAAAAACTTGAGTGGTTTTGACTAGTAAAACTTTCTGACTTTTATCAATGATTATGAATGATAAGAAGTGAATTAACAATGACTTTTAATGCATCAAAACTTGAGTGATTTTTAATAGAAAAACTTTTTGACTTTATTATTAACTTTGGAACTTTATTGCATAACTTTATTTGTCTTCAGATATAATGACATTCTAACTTAATTGTGCAAAGAAAATATGAAGGGAATTTATAATGCACTTAACAATATACAATTTTGAGTAGGAATTATGAATTAAACTGTTGGGTTTATTAGCTAGGCATAGGAATCCGAAAATAGAATTTGTTATGATTAAATAAACTACTAAATGGAATAGGAAATTTTGAAAGGAAACTTGATGTTCATGAAATAAAATTGTCTTAAAATATTGGAAAGTTGTTAAAGGAAACTTATAATAGAATTTGTTCTGATTAAATAAACTATTAAATGGAATAGGAAATTTTGACAGGAAACTTGATGTTCATGAAATAGAATTGTCTTAAAATATTGGAAAGTTGTTAAGGTCGCGTTAATGGCCGCCATGTTTAAATTTAGTTTTTGAAAATGACGACTGCGTCACTCTACACATAGGGTTCAATATTTTATTATTTGTCCAAAACAAAATCTGTTTGTCGTTGAAACACTAGTGACAGAGAAAAACAAATATACAACTATGATGCTCCCAATGTAGCTTCTTTGCCGTGGCGCCATATACTTGAAATTGCTTGAACTGTTTTCACCTTCAAAATTCGTTTTAAGGTCATCTCAAAAAATCCGCAATAATTTCCAAAATCCTTTGGTATAAACATTATTTGATATATTATCTACAATCTCTACAATTAGCTTTTGTTAGTTTTTCGTGATTATCAATAAAATATGCTTTTCACGGATCCAAGCTTGATAAACATGCAAATATGCAATCACTAACACATTTAATTGTTTTGGTGGTTGCGAACATGATTTTTGAATTTAAAAAAAAGGCTGAATATCGGAAAACCAAAATAAGGAATTGTAGATAATCGATCAAATAATGTTTATGCCAAATTTGAGCCAATTCTGATGTGCCGTTTTTTTAAAGACCTTAAAACAAGTTTCAAAAAATCAACCAATCACAGTTTAAACATAGCGGCCATTAACGCGGCCTTAAAGGAAACTTATAATAGAATTTGTTCTGATTAAATAAACTATTAAATGGAATAGGAAATTTTGAAAGGAAACTTGATGTTCATGAAATAAAATTGTCTTAAAATATTGGAAAGTTGTTAAAGGAAACTTATAATAGAATTTGTTCTGATTAAATAAACTATTAAATGGAATAGGAAATTTTGACAGGAAACTTGATGTTCACGAAATAGAATTGTCTTAACTTAAAATATTGGAAAGTTGTTAAAGGAAACTTATTGTTCATGAAATGAATTTTGAATTAGGGTTTTAAATTTCATATAGAAATTATGGTAAGGTTTAATAAGAATAAGTTAGTAATACCTATACATATTAATAAACAAATAGGTAATTATTTTGGGTTATTCATAAGCAGTCAGTAAAGGACTTATAGCCATTTGCACGGCTATCACTTAAGGGATATTTATTCCAAGTGGAGCTTTGAATGTGACTTTTCTTTCTTGTGAGTAACATTCAAAGCTCCACTTGGATTAAATATCCCTTAAGTTATAGCGATGCAAATGACCGTTAGAAATTTTAATGAATTTATAGAAATAGGTGAAGGGTAGTTTAATAGGAATGAATCGGAAGTGTTGAAATGAGTTAACTTATAAGCTATTAGGAAAAGTAGGAATAGGGCGTTTCTTTATTAGTAGGGATATTTCAGTGGTCCGTAATAATGACATATTGAACGGATGTGAAGTAATTGAATTTAGAAAAATAGATGAGGCTGTCAGAATTGGAAGATTTTTCGCTGATTCAAATTTTTGGGTTTTATGTATAATAAAATATAATTTAGTAAACCTCAATAGTTTGTTTCTCTCATTTGCAAATAGACCCTTCCACAAATTTATAGGTAGCAGCTCCAAGGAAATAAACACCATCAATATACCGCTCGCCATTTACCATCTAACTAATTACATAGAGTATTGGGGGAGTTTTGCTACAGGATTTTCACTTCTTTCCTAAATTTTCTTTTATTTGCAAGGGAAGGTAATTAAAGATGTTTTCACTTTTATCTATAATTGAGTTTGAGTCTATTTTGGTATATAGGCAATGGGAGTTTGTGAAAATTATTATGGCATTGAAGTGCATTTAATCACCTCAAAAAGGATTTCAAGGCATTGAAAAATTGCTTAGTATCAACGTACCAACAGCATTTTTAAGGTTAGCTACATTATGGATAGTAATAAGTACTTTATTGAAACCCTTAGAACATAACAATAAAGTAAATCCTAACCAAATCAGGTCCGCTTTTGTAAAATGAAAACTAAAACTTATTGGAAAATATAAAGGGTGTTCCTGAATATCATGTACAAACGGAAGGGGTTCTTTGATTTATTTTTAATAAACATAGGTCCGCAAACGCTTCATTACCGATCTACAGGGTATTGAAATTTTAATATTTTTTCAGTTTTTTCTTTATAGCTTCTGCAATTTTTGAGGGATTTAGCTCAAATTTGGAATATAGATTACGCAATAGGAGCTAAATGATTGCACATGTCAAACGTTTGCCAGAATCTAGAGGGTAATATTTTCTCAGGGGTCATGTCCCCTTCTCTGCCCCTAAACTTTTTTGCGGTGCGCCGCTCGTAGATTCTAAAAAACAAAATGATTTTTTTACCTTATTTAGAAACTTTTTGTTCTCTTGTAGTTTTTTCGAATGACCCCCTTATCGAGAAAAAAATTAAAAAACAAGTATCTGTAATTAGCTAGATAAAACTAGAGTGACTCAATAAACCTTTTTTACCTACAGAGGCAACAATACAGTAGTCCGGTTTTAATTTGTCAAATATGGGATCCCGTATGCAGATGTGTGATACCATATTGTGCAATACCTCAAAACATTCAGACAACCTTGTTGAATATGAATATTCATGGGCCCTCTCTCGCAAATATGGCAGAGGGGTATAACTGACCCCCTTAACATTCCTAAAATGACAAAAATTAAATAAAATAAGATTATGTATACAAATTGTTGCATATTAAAAAAAAAATATGTTTGCTATAAAGCAACTTAATAGGAAAAAAACTTTTATAGTGACAGATGCTGTTTGTGCTCACTGAAGACCACAGTAAAGTTGGTGGAAACCCGTTCAGAGGCGACTTATAGGAACTTGGCAGCCGCATTGATCAGATATAAAGAA